TGCATTATGTTCATGGTTATGTTTGCCTAAATGATCCTCTTGGACAATTTGTTTTCCGATTGCTCCTGATGCACAACAAGCCATCAACAGGAGAGTGGTGTATCTAATCTCTAAACCTGATAAACACACAAATACAAACAAATTAGACCCCATCGTTGATCTTGAGTGCCCTCTTGTGATGGGATGGGCTAGGAAAGAATATGGGTTCAAATTATTGCAGTCTGTAGCCAGAAAATGCATTTAAATAAAACTATGCATAACACACAGTATCTCAATTTGTGGTAACATGATTATCTGATATTGTGGGACGCATTTTAGTTTGCCTGTCACTAACCGCGAAGTAGTTTTACTTTAAAAGCCAACTACAAAACGCCGAGACATGCAAATTCATGTCAAAACTAACACTCTTTTGTCTTTTTGTTTAAGACAACCATAAGAAGAATTCCCCATACGTGTTTGAGAAGCAAAACACTTACATTTAAAAGGCTGATAGCTAAAGTTTTCAGCTGAACTTGTTGCCATGGTGCGCTGCAGTCATCTGTACGCTCACTCACCGTTTTCCTGTGTGTGTGTATACAACTAGTTTCTTACTGCCCTCTGCAGGGCTGGAGGGCATGCAGAGTCTCGTGCCTTTCTCAAGAAACAAATGCAATATTTGAACAAATTAAATCAAAGTTTAAATACCAGATGCAACATTAATCAAGCAAAAATGAAGAGGTACAATTTGAGCGATTCTGATTCACGTGAGAGTGGAGAAAAATAATGAAGCAGATTTTTTTTTTTAAATATTGTTTTGTTTTATGAGAACAACAGAAGCAGAAAACAATACAGTAGGCTATAGGCTGTAATAATATCTGTAATATACAAGGGTACAACTTTATGCAACAAACTCTCTAACGATTGTGTAAAACAAGTTTAAAATACATTTTTGCATTTGATTTGGAGTCAGACCATGTGAAACTTTCCAATTAAAAATGTGTTTCCAAGTTATTATTATTTTTGTTATTATTATGTACTTTGTTATCTTCTTGTTGTTTTGTTTTGCGTTTATTAATGCACAACTAATAAAATAGGCTACTTTTAACAAATGTGTTTCCCCTTAAAACAATAACAGTTGTGTTTCCTATTAATTTACAACGAACCATGCTTTACCGTTGTCATTGAAGTGTATCATTGTGTCTGACTCGAGGAAAACATTTAGGCAAAGCGAGTAATGGAAAGGATTGAAGTTGACATGCAAATAAATCGCACAGCATAGCCTATAAAATATTAGATCCATTATCAATGAAGATGCAAATGCATAAAATGGCAACACTGACTGTTGTGATACAGAAGCAGGGTAGACATTCCAGGTTGTCAGGGATCATGAATGTAATATAAACACCTACTATTATCAGGTAACTGATTCGGCTACATGTAATCTGGATTACATAATCAGATTCCAAAAATTAAGTATACTTCTAATTAGAGTAAATTACATTTTAAAATACTCGAAATCAGACTACAATTACTTTTTTATAGATTACATGTTTACATATTATTCACACAATAGCAATACGTTATTCAGAATGTATTGATTCTATCTAATTCCTCTGTTTCATCTTTGAAAATGTCCTTTCTAAAATAGCCTGCCGCTTATATACACTCAGAAAGTCCAGTTTTGGCATTCAAATATATATTAGTCATTAGTCAGGTGGCTACACAGCATTTGACCATTAGATTTGCAAAAATTATTTCAGGCTTATGAAGTGTTTCAACATTGCATCAACTACTGATGAACACATTCATTTTTATTTAAATTAGCAATCAGTATTTAACCATGTAGCTTTTGTCTTTCAAACTACTAATGCAGACCTTCCCAAACTTGTTGTCATCTGAACCTCTGTCACCTAATGCATTTACTTTAAAGGGGTGGTCAACTAGCTATTTTCGAAAGTTTGATTGTGTTTATGGGGGGGCACTGTAACATGTGTTCATGCTTCCTTTAAAAAAAAAAATTGCATTATTTTTCATATATTTTACAGCTGATTCCGTTCTCCTAAAAACGGGTGACTTCCTGGTTCTGTGAAACCCTTTTCCTCAGAAAAGTGAAATTATAATCAAGGACCCCTTTGCCCCTGATATTTTAAAATAAATATTTGAATAATTATGTCATTTGCGTGTTCTCTGACATTGGTTAATGCTCATATGGCATGCAGGTATAGACAACATTTGATTTGTTTCAGTTTGATTGTTATTTAAAAATGATTTGTTTTAATGTTACATGATTTATGATTTAGTTAATTGTTAGCTTTTCATTAAACTCACAAACCCCCTGCAGTTCTTCACGAAACCCAGTTTGGGGAACCTTGATAATACGCTTCATGTTTTCAATTACAATGAGTGGAATATATTTTCTTACTCTTTGTATTTTATATCATTATGGTATAAGATTATCCTATTTAAATCAATGGGATAAACATGTTAGGACAAAAGTAGCCTAATCTAAAAGTAATCAAAAAGTAGTCTGATTACATTAGCCTAACGTTACCTAAAATGTGTAATGTAATGGATTACGGTACTGACTACAGTCATGTAATTTGGAATCAGTTAACGGACTATAATTTGTAAGTAATCTACCCAGCACTAATGAGTTTTTTTTAGTTTTGGTGGTTGGAAGACTCCGACAACCAATTATATATAGAAAATTATTTATTCACAAATGTAAATGGGCAGTGAAAAAAACTAATTTTACTCATTTCAGAATAGAAATAGGTCACTACTTGTATACGTTAAAAGAAACAATAAATAACAAAGCAAAAAAAAAACTGTAAATTACTTTAAAGCCTTAAATCTATTCTTTGAATAATTTGTAATAATTTGTACTTGTTTACAGACGTGAGTTTTTTTTATTGCCCCTCATCTCCAACAAGCTGAAATAGCACAGTTATTAAATAGTATGTGTAATAATTATAGTCTCTGAATGTTTCTAATAGGAATAAAAGCTCTTTTGTATGCCACTTGGAGTTAATGTTATTGTGGTAACTGACTGGAGAAGCAGGTTTTGTCTTGTTTTTTGCCTTTTGCCAAGGATAACTGAAACAGGCTTGTGTAATTTTGTGGATTCAGCACATATGGCTTCTTTAAAAGTTCTACTGAAATGGTGGCATGCAATCGTGTTGTTCCTGTAGTGTTGCGTCATTGTATTTATATGCATGAATCATGTGCCTTGGGTATGCTAGCTGGATATGCATATTGTAACTTATTTTTTGTCTTTCCTGCAGTTGTTGTCTGTCACATAAACACACTATATTGTGTTTACTGTAAACGGAATATGTGTAATGACAGCTTTCACACATTACAAATGCTGTGTTGTTTTGTCTGTCATCCATTTACCCTTTTGGACATTCTCACCATCTTGGGAACTATTTGTCTTCCCGTGACATGTTTTGCAAGTGCTTGGAAAAGCATCTCTAACTAAACTCTGCGTATTTCAGACTCATGCTTTTTGTTCAGTCTATTTCTGAGGCGTAAAAGTCAACCGATGCTCATTAACTGACACGCTGTCATTTAAAAGTCATATGCTTTATCTAGTTATTCATTTCTTGAGCGTGACTTCTGTACTTTGAACAGCTTGCACTGAAGCTTGATAAATCATTTTATTGTAAAGTACAAAAACATTTTTGCTGACTTCCGTTATGATTTGACACCACCTTTGAAAGGCTTTCCATTCGTGGATTTTCGAATGCATAAATAAGTGATGTTTGTCATTATTAAAACAGTGCCATCAGGCATGCACCTTGAGGGGTGAGAACCGTTCCCAGGAGGTTTGAGCTGCAAAGATTTGATAACTTCCAGAGCACAGAATATGCCACCTGCTTTTATACTTCTGACATTAAAAAATATAAGGAGAAACAGTAACTAGATGTTGCACTCCATATG